ATATATCGACACTCTGCGTAACTCTTCTTTCCGGATACCCTCGTAGAAGTGGTCTAGACCAGATTTAAGCCATTGCGACGATACATAATCACATCATATTCAATACTTGGGACCTGCTCACATTCGTCACTCTTGTACATGTTCACACTTGTAATGTACTTAGTTTTTTCCCCTTGATTTGATTTCCGTAGTGAGTACCAATGCTACCGATACCAGGGATTGAACCCTGGCCTTTTGGGGTGAGAGGCAATCACTCTTACCACTACACAACCGGTGCCGCTAAATGTACTTAGTTCAAAAACTTGAGCATAACAAAACAAATCTTTGAGGCCAGAAGTAGAATCACGGTAATTTATGATGTATCCTATGAAATATATCGATATCAGTGATATGTTGAATCATGCAGTGTATCAAAATTGCCTACAAAATGGTGAGTTGACAACCTGGAAGGAGCGGAATACCTAGCCCTGGTCCTCACAAGTGCCTACTTCACGCCTCCTCGAGTCATATGATAACAAAAGACTACCAGCTGAAACATGGACACAGCTGGTTGGCGTAGCCTGGGCAATGTTGCCAGTCCGGCAATAGCAAAGTGAAGAGGTGCGATGCGAACACTGGCGCGGTAACCATAGTACGGTGATAGAGGAAATGCTTCACCAAACCTGAGCGTCTGCTCACCATGGAGGTGCGGCTCAAAACGGCGTCTGTTCTCCATGTTAGGAGCGGCTGATCACCGTCCTAGTGCCAGCGTGGGACTCTAAACAGAGCTGTGCACGATGGTCCCCCGGCGAGACAGGGGGTTGGGGCAGGTCCAACAAGCCGCCCTGGAAAAAAACAAAGTTGCAAATACCGAAGAAAGAAATACGGATCGGAACAATCGGCACAGACCTACGCGACGAAATAAAGACTACGATTGGAAACTCGGAACATGGAACTGCAAATCGCTCGGCTTCCCGGGTTGCGATAGGTTAATCTATGACGAACTTCAACCACGCAACTTCGAAGTCGTAGCACTGCAGGAACTTTGCTGGACGGGACAAAAGGTATGGAAAAGCGGGCATCGAGCGGCTACTTTCTACCAGAGCTGTGGCACCACCAACGAGCTGGGAACCGGCTTTGTAGTGCTGGGTAAGATGCGCCAACGCGTGATTGGTTGGCAGCCGATCAACGCGAGGATGTGCAAGTTGAGGATTAAGGGCCGTTTCTTCAACTACAGCATCATCAACGTGCACTGCCCACACGAAGGGAGACCCGACGACGAGAAAGAAGCGTTCTATGCGCAGCTGGAGCAGGTGTACGACGGCTGTTCGCAACGGGACGTCAAAATCGTCATCGGCGACATGAACGCTCAGGTAGGACGGGAGGCAATGTATAGACCGGCAATCGGGCCAAACAGCCTGCATGCCGTATCGAACGACAACGGCCAACGATGCGTGAACTTTGCAGCCTCCCGGGGTATGGTAGTTCGAAGTACCTTTTTCCCCCGCAAGGATATCCACAAAGCCACCTGGAGATCACCTGACCAACACACAGAAAACCAAATCGATCACGTTCTAACCGACGGGAAATTCTTCTCCGACATTATCAACGTCCGCACGTACCGCAGTGCGAACATAGATTCGGACCACTACCTAGTTGCAGTATGCATGCGCTCAAAACTCTCGACGGTGCATAACACACGTCGAAGTCGAACGCCACGACCCAACATTGAGCAACTACGGGACACCGGAGTTGCCCAGGACTACGCGCAGCAGCTGGAAGTTGCACTACCCACGGAAGAGCAGCTTGGCGCAGCTTTTCTTGAAGATGGCTGGAGGGACATCCGTTCAGCCATAGGTAGTACTGCTGTAGCGGCACTAGGTACTGCAATCCCGAACCGAAGAAATGACTGGTTTGACGGCGAATGCAAACTGTTAGTAGAGGAGAAGAATGCAGCACGGGCGAGAATGCTGCAACACCGCACGAGATTGAATGTGGAGCGATACAGACAAGCGCGGAACAGACAAAACTCGGTTTTCCGAAGGAAGAAGCGTCAGCAGGAAGATCGAGATCGCGAGGCGATGGAAAATCTGTACCGCGTAAACGACACACGGAAGTTCTACGAGAAGCTAAATAGTTCGCGCAAAGGCTACGTGCCGCAAGCCGATATGTGCAAGGACTTGGACGGTAACCTTCTCACGAACGAGTGTGAGGTGATTGAGAGGTGGAAGCAGTACTATGACGAGCACCTCAACGGTGAAGCAGCAGAAAACGAAGGTGGCACGGCAACAGACCTTGGAGCACGCGCAGAAGACGACAGGCTACCGGCCCCTGATCTTCAAGAAGTTGAGGAGGAGATCGGTCGGCTGAAGAACAACAAAGCAACTGGTGTAGATCAACTACCAAGTGAGCTATTGAAATACGGTGGTGAAGCACTGGCTAGAGCGCTGCACTGGGTAATTGCCAAGATTTGGGAGGAGGAGATATTACCGGAGGAGTGGATGGAAGGTGTCGTATGCCCAATCTACAAAAAGGGCGACAAGTTGGATTGCTGCAACTACCGCGCGATCACACTGCTGAGCGCCGCCTACAAGGTACTCTCTTAAATTCTATGCCGCCGTCTGTCACCATATGCAAGAGAGTTCGTGGGGCAATACCAGGCGGTTCATGGGTGCCCGCGCTACCACGGACCAAATTTTCGCGATTCGGCAGGTTCTGCAGAAATGCCGCGAATACAACGTGCCCACACATCATTTGTTCATCGATTTCAAATCCGCATACGACATAATCGATCGAGATCAGCTATGGCAGATTATGCACGAGTACGGATTTCCGGATAAACTGACGCGATTGGTCAAGGCGACGATGGATCGAGTGACGTGCGTTGTTCGAGTATCGGGGACACTCTCGAGTCCCTTTGAATCTCGAAGGGGGTTACGGCAGGGTGATGGACTTTCGTGTCTGCTGTTCAACATCGCGTTAGAAGGTGTGATCAGAAGAGCTGGGATAGACACGAGTGGCACGATATTCAGGAAGTCCATCCAGCTCCTTGGTTTCGCCGATGACATTGACATTATGGCACGGAACTTTGAGATGATGGCGGAAACGTACATCAGACTGAAGGCTGAAGATAGACGGATTGGACTTGCCATCAACGCATCAAAGACAAAATATATGAAAGCAAGAGGTTCTAGGGAAGACAATGTTAGCCTCCCACCCCGAGTTCAGATTGACGGTGACGAAATCGAGGTGGTCGATGAGTTCGTGTATTTGGGCTCACTGGTGACCGCCGAAAATGATACCAGCAGAGAAATTCAAAGACGCATTATGGCAGGGAATCGTGCCTACTTTGGACTCCGGAGGACGCTCCGGTCGAATAAAATTCGCCGCCGCACGAAGTTGACTGTCTACAAGACGCTGATTAGACCGGTGGTCCTTTACGGCCACGAGACCTGGACTATGCTCGTGGAGGACCAACGCGCCCTTGGTGTTTTCGAACGGAAGGTGTTGCGTACCATCTACGGTGGAGTGCAGATGGATGACGGAACGTGGAGGAGGCGAATGAACCACGAATTGCACCAGCTGCTGGTAGAACCATCCATCGTCCACATTGCAAAAATTGGGCGACTACGGTGGGCTGGGCACGTCGTAAGAATGCCGCACGACGACCCAGTGAAAATGGTTCTAGAAAGCGACCCAACAGGAACAAGAAGAAGAGGCGCGCAGCGGGCAAGGTGGATCGACCAAGTAGAAGGTGACCTGCGGACCCTTCGCAGACTACGAGGCTGGCGAACTGTGGCCATGGATCGAGTAGAGTGGAGACGACTTCTTCGGACAGCAGAGGACAACAAGGCCTTAGCCTGATTGGTAAGGTAAGGTATCAAAATTGCCCGTGCAGCTGTCCTTATATTTTAGAAATACAGTTGTACAAGCACATTTAAAAAAGATAGATTTCTGATTTCTTGGCTACTATTTCGTCAATTCTTATTTTTTATCGATAATCGGTATAGTATTGGGCGTATTTGATTGAGTATGTTATAGTACGTTCAGACTACAGAGTTATAACATGTTATAGCGCTAACTTGATGGTGGTTTCTGTGTTGCAATTATTTGACAACCGTTATAACATGTTATAACTCTCCAGTCTGTACAGCGTTTTAGGGAAGATGCATAAATGACGTAGCATTTGAGGGGGAGGGGGTTTTCAGAAGTTGTGACCGGCCATATACTTGGCAAAGCAACATAGGTTACCGAAGAAGAGGAGGGTGGTAAAAACTGGTCAAAAATATACTACGTCATTAATGGATGGACCTCAAGAGAATAAACTTATTTTATAAAAAAATCTTTTTCTCTTAAAATTTCATTTTCTGGAAAATGAATGATCCAAACTTTATGAAATTTAGCTCATTTGTAGTCAATACTACGACCTTTTATATTCCGCTTATTTTACTTAAATCCGTCCACTGAACAAAAAGTTGAAAATTGGGCGTTTTACTAGAATTATTTAATCTTCACACAGACTCTTTCAATCATGAATAAAACTGTACCGATAAATCAATAAAAAATTGATCAGCCACTTGCCAAGATTTCTGAAATCTATCATTTTACAGTGTTCCTAACACTTGTACTGTGTGTTACGACACGATATATCGAATTTCGAGGGAAAAAACATCGGTATTGCGATATATCGGAAATATCATCGTATCTCTATCCGAATGGATAGAAAGCTATTTATAATCAAATATGAAAGTGCTCACTTTACAGTCATGATGAAGATTGTGCAATAATTGCTCTGAATTGAATCGTCAAAAGTAAATAATTGTACTTTTTGGCATAAATTAATGCGCTACAACTGTTATCTCCAAGCAAAACAACACGCCCGTTTTTATATTCATTAAAACAAAATATAAAGTGTAAAAACATTTACCCGGAAGGAGTGGGACTGCCTATCGTCTAAACGTGTCTTCTGTTAACTTCTTTGTTGTAGAAATGTTGCCATGATAAAACCGTGCTTGGGAAACCAGTAGGATATTTCAACTATAAAAGCTTTAGACATTGTAGGTATTGCAGTTCAGTTCTACCTTCATTTTATTTCAGTAAACATATTTTCAAAAGGAGGAATCTGGTAGAGACTTCAATGAATTTCTTCATCGGATTGCTCATCGCAGCCATTGCGGCAACAGCATCAGCTGTTTATTACCCACCGTCAGTTCCTTCGTCAGAAGTTGAAGAGTCGCATTATGCATACCAATTGAAGAGTTTCCGGCAAGAACTGGACGAGTGCGCCGAGTACCTGCAAATTTCGTCACAATCCGTGGACAACCTTGTGGCCAGCAACTACGTAACGGATGATTCGAATTTGAAGTGTTTAATTCGATGTGCCGGTATTAACGCTGGATGGTGGGGTGTTGGAGGTAATTATTCCGGACTGCACGCCCCTGTTATCGAAAGCTACTTCCAGCCAGCTTGTGACGATACCTGTTATGCTAAACGTACTAAGGAATGTTTGGATTCTAAAGTGATCAAATGTCAAGACGATTGCTCTCAGGCATATGAATCGTTCTTGTGCTACTACCACCAGTATGGAAACCTCAAGAGTTCCGAAGAATACATCCCACTGCCGCAGTTGGATGCCATCCAGGCTGCCATTGATTGTATACTTATTCTGCGTACGCCGTCAGAACTGCTTGAGCAATACAGCCAGGGAGTTTTCCCAGCGGCTCCTGAAACTCAATGTTTGTACCGTTGCCAATACATAGCCGAAGGACTTTACGATGGAGTTACAATCAACTTGACTCGTATCTATATTCGTAACTGGTATGCGGAAAACCCAACACCGATAAAAAGCCCGGAAACTCAGGCATGTATAGATTCTGCATTGAATAACAATGCTTGCAACGAATGCGCTCGAGTCTACAAAGCTAGTTCTTGCACTGATAATTATGCTAATCCTCATCATACATCTGCGATTTTGGAAGCTGCCTCAAAATTGGTTTTGTCTCAAAAAACTTGCAACGATGAAGACCTGTCTCCCAAATACAACGCAGGAACTCCTGAACCAACACCATGTCAAAATTCGACTGTCACCCCCGATCCCCCAGCAGCTTCACCATATTGACCAATTTGACCATTTGAAAGATTGTTACGAATGAATCTACATATAATGACTATGCAATATAAATATATGCGTATTAATTGAGCATTACGTTCTGACGTTTTTTATAATTACTCTTTATTTTTTAAGCCCCTTCAGAATAAAATATCATGATGTAGTAAGGTGGAGCCTAGGTTGGGACAAAGTTTGACATCCGTTGGAGAATTAAAATTCCATATACAGGAACCGCCCTTAGCTCGGTCGGTTTCCCCTTTCGGGACAACTTTTGCTTTACATATTTTAAGTGCTTATTCATGGTTATATCGCTAAAATCATCCACGACTGTAATAACGCAACCATGCAGCAATTGTGATAAACATCAATTTTACAGAAACCATGTGGATAGCAGTTTATTTCACGCACAGGGATGAGAATTATATTAGATCAAATATTCGGATTTCCGTAAATATGCAAAAAAAAAAAATCAAGAATTTTACCTTTTTGAGCATAAGCATGAGCATGAGCATGATTGACCGCCCACGGTTGCTACTCTGATATTGCCAGACCAGCTGTAATTACACAGAGAACCAATAGACGATGGACTAGCAATCATCCTCAATGTGTAAAAACTGGTGATCTCGAATTAGGCAATACCAGCGCCAGCCGCGCCTGAACGCAGGTCAAGAAAGGAATGGGTAGAATTGTGTTGACATGACACTCGCTTTGATGGAAGCCGAGGAATCCTCTGTACTTCCACGAGGAATCACAGGGTTGTTGGGTAAGAGGGTTGGGTTAGCAGCAGGGTTCGTTTTGGTAAACGATAAGCTGAATTGATGCCCTAACGATCGTATAACGCGAAGGAGCTTGGGATTGAACCCACGGTCTTCTGCTCAGTAAGCAAAAACGTTTGCCACTAGGCAGACGAGCTCCTTTTTAATCATTGACGAATCTTGAATGTGGATGGGCTTGAGATTAGACTCATGATGTTCTGCTCAGTAAGCAAAAACGGTTGCTCTAAGGGCACCGAGCCTCTCATATCACATTATAGCGTTACTCAAGTTTTTATAACTATTCAAACCCGGCACCGACGACAACGAAAAGTTTTACAAAATACACGATAAACAAGCGATATTTTAATATTTTTAATATGAAAGGATCTGGAACCGCGTTTTTCTCCTCAGTATGCAAGCCACTGCAACCGACGATCTTTGAAATCCTAAAACTAAAAGCTACGAAAGAGTACTTAGGCCTTCACTAAGATCCACTTTCACGCGACGTTCAATTTTTCGATTTTCTCTTTACTCATGGTTCAGACAATCATAACAAGCTATGACCCACGTGACGATTGTTTAAGGCCTGGTTATGCAGCCGAAAACTATTGATGAATCTACGCGAAACTGCACCAGTGTATGCGACACCTTGGTTTGAAATCCAAAACCACAAAAGTGATGATGTACTAAAAAATATTCCATACGATTTGACAGCTAGCAAAACGTCATTATCATTTTCACATAATTTACATCTGCTGGTCGACCGTAGCGTAGATTCATCAATTAGCGAATTTGTTTATTATTTATTATTATCGGGGTTGGAACCAGTTCCAACCCAGTGTGAAACCGAACTTTTTGTCAGTGCGAACCTGAACCTGAGGTAGGTTTTAAAAACAAACGATCAAACTGACGTTTGTCAGAAAACAAGCAGAGTCGATCTTGATACCCGATCCAGGTTGGAACTGAATAATAAACAAATTCGCTATATGAAAGCGAATGCACGCACAAAACAGAGAACACACTTAATACACAACCGTATCCAAAGGCGTTCGAAACTCGACTCAATTAATTTTACTCTCATTCTGTCAATCAAGAATTTTACCTTTTTGAACTTACAAATTGTCAAAAAGCAGTTAAAATGTTTATTTTTAACGGTGCAAATTTCAAAAGGGTTTTCCAGAATGGAAATTGTGATATCTTTTTTTTTGTAATACATTTAGGCTATACTATTTTCCATCATGTAAGCTGGATGCCGTCTGTTATTTGGCTCCAGTTTCCCCTGCATGATCGTGTCACATGCTCTCACTAACGTTTTCGTTTTTGTCAGCTCGTGCGCGTTCAGTTCCGCGGGGCCGCTGTCCACACGGAGTGCTTCAACGAAAAGATCCTTATCGAAAGCCTTCGTGTGTGTATGTGTGTGTGTGTGTCATCCTCTACACCTCGCCCAGCTGAGAGCGTTGGACGAATAGAACTGTGAATAATTTGATCAAATCTAATGCTCCTTTGTTTCGTGAAGATCCGTACTTTAAAAAGGATAACTTTTGGGGCAAGACAAAGCTTCCTAAACAAGTGTAAGACATAGATGCCCTTATTCGCACTATCTGTTCAGGGATAGAAGGAACATAAGAGCCACCGCAGCCATCTGAATCTTGAACCGGGTACCTAAGAAACCCACAATACCCGCGGCAACAGCCAGCAAATGATGTCCTGTCGTATTTAGTTCTTGAATATTGTTGCATTTATAAATTCATTTTATGTTATGAACTTTAATAAATATAATTTTATTAAATGTATGGATTTCCCCAAATTTTGACCCGGATAGCTCAGTTTGTTCCAACAGCATCGTTAAAAAAACCTCTGGTGATGACTATTGTCCGAGCTAATCAACGGTTGTTCATTTTATTTTATTTCCTTTGCTGCTTCAATCTCTGCCACCGAACAACGGCTCTGTTACCGGAATGAGTAAAAAACACAAGAACAACAATAAAAAACATTTTGTTTATTATGGCCAACGATTGCTGGTTATTGCCGATGTTACAATCGATACATACTACATACACTACACTTTGCGTTTTCCTAGACATGTGAGATTCACGAGGAGCTATAAATGAAACGGACCTGCAAAACTATGTAGGTGGTTAGGCCTTGTAACGAAACAAACACAGAACGCACACACGAGGAAGAAGGTTCTCGTTGTATATTTTTTACACTTGGAAGCCCTAATACAACATTACCATAAACGAACGATAACCCAAACAGTAGACCTATACTACAAACTGTTTGGATGATACCCCGAACACGTCTTTATATTTTGCTTAATAGGGAGGAGCTCCGGGAGCACGAAATAGACGCAGACGGACCGACGTATCGACTAATGGAGCAAGGAAGATTAATCAGAATAAATTCATCAGTAATAAGTGAAACAAAATTCCGAAAAGAAAACAAAGGTCCCCCCCTCACAAGGCTTCCAACTGAACTGAACCATTAAATAATTTTAAAATTAGAATAAAATATTAATGAGGGACATTGTTTATGAGTTTCTCTTACTTTTCCTTCAAGACTTGAGTTTAGCGTCCGCTTTCATCCGTGCCCTTAACTCTCTTGCTTCTTCCAATCGTTTTTCTTTAGCAGTGCCTACCGTTTGGCCTCCTCTTCGATTATCCCGAATTTGTAGTAGCAACACGCATCATTTTTGTACTTGAAAACAGGCAGCTGCTTGCTTTCTCTCCACTGTCCTTCTCGGCATCCGGGGACGTAACATCCATCACCATTACCTCTTCTTCCAGGACCTCAACCACCTCCTTCCCAAGTAGCACAATTCCGTCCCAAAAAGTTGCAGCAACTTGTTTATAACTGAAATAAGTCATACATAAGTTTCCAAGACCAATTTATAACAAGGGTGCTACTAGGGTTGCTTGGCGATTCACCTCCAGTCACTACACCAGCGTATGAACTGGTAATACTCTGTTCTTCACTCCGTTGTTGTTTTTCTTCTTCCTTAAGTTATTGCTTCCGATCCATCCGCTTGGGGCAGATTCATCAGATTCCCCTCCGTCTTACAAAGGAAACACACATTTTTGTTCTCTTGATAGAATATGTTGCCCTTTCGTTTGAGGAAACGCAGCGTGTTGGTATTTTCTCAATGTTTAAATACATCCATATATAGACCCCGCACACATGTGTGCATTTCGAGGCCCAATTCAGCTGCAAATTTTTACCGAACTACACGCTTTACATCAGCGTATTTCCCTAGCACCAATGCTAGATCGCTATCCGGGACTTTTGGTGGGAGGTCGTATACTCTCCCGTACTGAACGGTGCCTACATGCCTACTTCGGCTGACTTCCTATCTGCTAACGGTTGTGCATCGTTTTCTCGGATTTAAACATAGATTTTCCTCCGTTATGCGATATGTTGCGATCATTTGAGTGGGATCCACGTCTAGCGTTTTCACAAATTCGCATTTTCTTCCATGAAGCGCTTTGAACTGCTAGCTGTGAAGCTGAATATAATCGTCAGCTTTATTTCCACCGATATCTCACCTAGCTGTTTGCTTCCAACGGGCAACGGCAAAAGCGAACGAACTTTAAACAATGCACGCTAATCCAGTCAATAAGGCATTTCTGAGTTTTTGAACTGCGGAACTGTTCGGTCAACGGTTTTAAAAACTGTGAAAAAATTAAGAATGTGAAAATTTGGATTTAAACTTGAAACAGTTTGAAAATTTGTCCAAAAGTGTTTGCTCTTCAATTTTTGTCAATTTTAAGGCATCCAATTTTAAAATTTTACAAAAATATACAATAGCAAATATTGAAAACATATGAAAATTGAACACTTTTTTGGATTTTAAACCCAACATTACTTAAAAAAGTAGCGTGTACGTTTTTTCCTGGAATGGCTATATTTTTTCCAACAACTTTGTTTCAGATGATTTCAATCGAAAGTGACATTTTCGTCTACACACTTAGAAAAATTAATGTAAATTTAGGTGCTCTGAGACTGACATATACAAGCGTCAATTTTGACAAAAAATTGAGTCATAATAGAAGCGAAATTCAGCTCAATCAAACGTACTTCCGAACTTTTCAGTCTCGGAGCACTTAATTTTACATGACATGTTTGTTTTCGTCTCATTCTTTATGTCAAAGATGGATTCCGCCACGTGTAAGATTAGGTATTTCTAAGTGTGTATGATTGACTTAAAAAAACGATTACGCTATTTTAGTTTTGCAATTTTCAAATTGGTTTTTTATGACGACAATTAACAAGCCAATTGTAGTTTTGATGAAACTGCCGTTGTCGGCAGGCGTCTTTTCAACTATTAATTTACGATATGTTGTATTTTTCCCACACACTTAGATATAACTAATTTTACACGCGACGGAATCCGTCTTTGACATAAAAGATGAGACGTAAACCAACATGTCATGTAATATTAAGTACTCCGAGACTGAAAACTTCGTTCCTCGACGAAAAGTACGATTGATTGAGCTATATTTCGCGCCTGTTATGACTCAAATTTATGTCCAAATTGACGCTCGTATATGTCACTCTCAGAGCACCTAAATTTACATGAATTTTTCAATGTGTGCATTTTAATCTTTCTTGAATTGCTACCAATCTAACCGGATTGTTGCGTATGGACAACTAGAACCATAGTTCGAGCAATATTTGGGAAATTTTAACAGCTCCCATACCAACGTCAAACTATTTGCGTGGCCTCTTATTTTGGGTTCATTAATCAAACTACAGGGCGGCCTTAATTATTACAAGTACTTTTCACATAAAGAAGCACTCTAATGGCACATGGCTCCCAAACTGAAAGTACGCCCCATACTAAACCAAAGTCTACGGCCGCATGGATGGTATTTTTTGATGTATTTATGCAACAAGTTGCAAAAAGAAGATGTTTTAAGCATGAGCCGTACATTTATCCAACGAAGCTTGCCTGTAAAAATCGTTTATTGCAACGCGTTGCATACAGACTTTTTTGCACTCAAATGTTGTTCAAAAGGATTTCAAAAAGTAGTACTTTTTGGAAATGAGGGCAACAACTTTGAGACAATATTAAAATCCGGCTCAATTTCGCCCTGTATTTAAACGTTGTAATAACCGTGTTATTTGACCGTCGTTTTTCAATGCAAAGACTCATCAACCTGTGTTATTATTATTGGATGCCATATAAGTTTCTAATTAAATTCTCCCAAGATATCAAAGCTGGGTTTTTATTCTGTCAAACGAAAGATTCATTGCCCAGTGGAACATTTTGCACTTGAGTGCCTTATTGAGCTTAGTGCCCTTGACAATCTCCTTACTTTGGCGGTGATGTTCGATGAAGTCAGCAAAACTCTCAACCGTAAATATTTTCTATCTGAAATTGAATGTGCCACCCCTAGCAGAGTGCGCTTTATTTTCATTTAGTTCTGAGTTTGAGAGCCTATATTTCGCTGTATCAAAAATAAATGTTAATTAAGGTTATAAAATTTAGCGCATGGAAATCATGCTCACTATGAATTGAATAACATGCCTTTGTTTTACCTGTTATCAGTACCACACTAAGATTTTTACTTCTGTTAGCTGAGATCTCACCAAAACTCCAGTTTGTTAGCTGAATCTCGGCAAGTGTCTTACTGGGATCCAGTAAAATAAAATGCTGAGCTAATCGGCGGTGGGAAAAAAAAAAACTAAGTGTGTGTCTTTCATTTACTCTTCTAAGGGCTTCTAAGCGTCTTGCCATAGGAAATATCAAAATTTTTCTTTGGACGAGCATAAACATTCACCCAGAAAGGCAGATCGGCAAAATATGTTTACGCACTTGAACGTGTCATCAAGAAATTTTTTGTTTGTTTAATTTTTACCGCGATAAAAGCCTCCACGTGCTAAAAACAATAGCAGACTGGTGATGTCAATAGAAATTAGTTACTATAAAAGCAACCGACTTTGAAGGTATTGTATCAGTCACAGTTTTACCCTCATTTCAATTCAGTCTTCAGAAATTTTGATAGAACTAGGATTCCGGTAAAGGTTTCAATGTATTTCTACATTGCGTTGCTCATCGCAGCCATTGCGGCAACAGCATCTGCTGTTTATTACCCACCGTCAGTTCCTTCATCAGAAGTTGAAGAGTCACATTATGCCTACCAATTGAAGAGCTTCCGGCAAGAACTGGATGAATGTGCCGAGTACCTGCAAATTTCGCCACAATCCGTGGACAACCTTGTGGCTTACAACTACGTAACGGATGATTCGAATTTGAAGTGTTTAATTCGATGTGCCGGTATTAACGCTGGATGGTGGGGTGTTGGAGGTAATTATTCCGGACTGCACGCCCCTGTTATCGAAAGCTACTTCCAGCCAGCTTGTGACGATACCTGTTATGCTAAACGTACTAAGGAATGTTTGGATTCTAAAGTGATCAAATGTCAAGACGATTGCTCTCAGGCATATGAATCGTTCTTGTGCTACTACCACCAGTATGGAAACCTCAAGAGTTCCGAAGAATACATCCCACTGCCGCAGTTGGATGCCATCCAGGCTGCCATTGATTGTATACTTATTCTGCGTACGCCGTCAGAACTGCTTGAGCAATACAGCCAGGGAGTTTTCCCAGCGGCTCCTGAAACTCAATGTTTGTACCGTTGCCAATACATAGCCGAAGGACTTTACGATGGAGTTACAATCAACTTGACTCGTATCTATATTCGTAATTGGTATGCGGAAAATCCAACACCGATAAAAAGCCCGGAAACTCAGGCATGTATAGATTCTGCATTGAATGACAATGCTTGCAACGAATGCGCTCGAGTCTACAAAGCTAGTTCTTGCACTGATAATTATGCTAATCCTCATCATACATCTGCGATTTTGGAAGCTGCCTCAAAATTGGTTTTGTCTCAAAAAACTTGCAACGATGAAGACCTGTCTCCCAGATACAACGCAGGAACTCCTGAACCAACACCATGTTCAACACCGGCCCCAACCCCCGCTCCTACTCCATGTCCATCATCAACTTCCACTCCCGCTCCAACTCCCGCTCCTACTCCAGGTTGCATGTATAACTGTGGATCATAAGAATATATTATGTTAGTACTTTGGTACAAATGATTTCACCGTATATCGATTTTTTTTAAATATATGTTTTAATTGAGCAAATTGTGTTGGTTTTCTATACTACTTTATACTTTTATAGCCCCTTAACAATAAAACATCACGAAACATCAGTACCTAGATGCCATTTGCATCAACACATTTTGCGAGCGCGACCAAACTGCATCTAATGGTTTATTTTGAAACGATAGCGCACTGGCGGGTTCGTACGCGATAGAATATATTGAAACACGCACTGTTTTTAGACTTCTCAGAATGATGTTGAAAAAGTCACACATTTCCGAGCGGAACGTGCTCGAGGATAGGACGTTGGTTTGTTCGTATTTTCTAGCGCCAGCCGTGTATGCAGCTAACAAGATAGGCGTAATTCGGTTTAGCATACATGTTGGGATGATCAATATGGTTTTCCCTTCACATTAACGGTTACCGATAAATTATCTAGTTTGTTTATTTGAAAGGCTCAATCGCGTTAGCTTTACGGAGTCGATAATTCATTGTTTAGTAACAAAATTGACTTGATTCTAGGTCTAGTAGGAGTAGAATACTCGTGGCTTACTCGAGGGTAGAGGTGATAGGATCAGGGGAAGAGCTTTGGGGTGGGGTTTCGTTGTCTCATCAAAACGTTGTCACCAGTAGGATGTAATGTGGCTTTAGATCAACTCGGGGGCAACTTGACAGCTCCAGTATATTGCCAGTGTACCCCGGCAATTTGGTGCTGGTGGTTCTGTCAAACTCATAAATTTCAGAAGTGTTATCTGAAAAGGGCGAATGCGGAAATGATGTACAGTAAACAAAACTAAAGTTTAAAATTCATCTTACTGTCGCGTGCTTACTAAACCACACACGCGACGTTACACTCAAAACATTTCACACGTCATCATCATGTGTCTCACACTTAATTTTTCACTTATTATGAAACACATCCACATCATGTGTGAATCTTATACTTCGAACCATGTCTCAACACTATTGGTTCGGATTGTGACACACTTGGAGTCTATGTGCCTCACATGATGATATCAATAGCTTTGAACATCATTCTACTTTATCGACTTCTACTTTATCGATTCCAAAATTGAATCTACAAATATATAAACGAAGCTGCAGAGCGGGGGCAGAGCATCCACATGCCTTTTTTTTAATGGGTCTGATTTGGGATTTGATCCCGGACTGTTAGGTTGTGCTGCTGTCGTTGTCTTTGTTCGATCTCACTGAGCTACTGTTGTTCTCATATATGAGGCTAGTTGATAAGGATGAAGTCACAACTCATGTTTTCGATGTTGACCTTGAAAAACATGCAATTAACATAGCATTGAAATGCAAAACACTTCAAATCCATCTGTTTTGAACAGTAGTGTGATTTAAGGTGCAATACACTTCAGTTGATAGAGAAAGATTATCAACATTTCAAAGTTTGAAACAATAGAAATTAACGTGTAGAATCAATGGTGAAATACACTTAAAAAAATATGATTGTGAACATGAAAAATCAATTGTTTAAACACTTCGATCACACGTGTGGCCTTTTTTGAGTGTAGCGACATAGGAACTCCAAAGATGCCAGCTAAAAATTTCGCTTTGATTCTCAGTAGTATACACAATTCATAATCAATTTATAAAACTTATTTGAGCAGTACAGAACCATATGAAGCTTAAACATATGATTTGTAAAATGAAAATATATGATTGTCATCGAATTAATTTGAACAAATGAGAATTGAACAAACATACTTTCAGTGTTTTCAACGCTATTGCTATTATCGTCGATGATGAACAAAGAATGAATGGTTTTGCAGCGAGTAAATGTATACTAATTATACTTATCTGTTTCTTGAGGCTTCAAGTTTGGTAAGGAATAATTTTTTTTAAGACCCTCATTTGATTTAGTTCATTTAATTGAATATATTTCTTCAATTTAAAATGGATCTTCAAAATGTTTCTCATCACCCAGCAAAACTGCTACTCACCGTGAAATATAATCAATTTTGTAAGTTTTTTGCGGATAGAATTCTTAATTCTTCCAAAGTTTTTGGCATATTTCTCAAGCCGGAGTTTTAAATAAAAATGCACAATTTTACCAAGATATTGCGATGTCATGATAGTTTCAAAACAACATGTTGATGAATGGTGCAGATGCTCATTGGAATTCTACTTTCAAGCCGCTCGTAATATCTTCCAACGTTGAAATATTTGTGGTAATTAATGAGTTATTTCAATTTAGTTGCAGAAGTCTTGCATGTTAGAAGAACACACAAGAGCACGAGAATAAAGAAACACAGGAAAATAAACATTTGTTTATGTATACGGTCCATGGCAAGCCTTTATCGCACCACAATGATAAAAAAATCTGTTGGCTGATTATATTCAAGAGCAAAATAAAATAGCAGACAGCTACGTATTTTTATTGTTATTTGATAATATAAGAAAATGAACCTCCATCAATCGGTTTCAATTTGTATGGATTATTTCGTTTCACCACGAAAATAATAAATTCACACTTATCGTTATCATATAGCATTCTTGCCTGTTGGTTGACATCCACACATGGAGAAACAAAAGGTTGGATTCCCATAGAGAAATGTCATTGCGGCGGTGATGGACAATCCCTTTGTTTATATTGTGTGTCAACATCTACTACTTGCAAGTGGGTACGTGAAAGTAAGGCTATCTGTAAGTAATTTTGCCGGGGACTTGATTTAGATTTAACTTCTTCTGGAGTTCAACCAAGTGTGGCAACCAGAGGGCGACGATGAGACTTATCGAGATAAGGGTACAACACAACAAAAACTAATGAAGAAATCAAAAGACAATGGAATTACATTCTTACACTAGACATTTGCAGAAACACATAAATTGACTGCATATAGCAGAGAGAGGCCTCAAGGGTTTTTTTTGGCGGGTTTTGTGAGTCTGACGCTTGTTTTTTGGCCTCTTTTTGTGTCTAACATGTGCAGAGTATGATTATAGGGTCTAATGGTATTGAGATTCCTGGTTGCGTGAAATATATTTGTGAGAATATCTTTTTGAGATTTTAGTAGTCACGTTTGGTTTGTAGTTTATATTTTATTTCTTTCATGTAATTATCGTAAATAATAGTTTTCAATAATAGATAGTTCATCCATATTCGTACTTTGCGCGAAGCGCTGTGGATTATGAGATGCTTGATGACCCTGGAGGGATCGATTTTGCTTACTGAGCAGAAAATCATGGATTTAACCCCAAGCTCTTCCACAGCATAATAAATCGCCACCATCATTTGTATATTTGATATTGAACAATAACCTCGGAAACTATTTGCATGTCAAGCGAAAACGTAGTCCTGTATTGTCGCGAAGCGTTATGGTTCTGAGATGCTCGATGACCCTGGAGGGATCGTTTTTGCTTACTGACAGAAAATCATGGGTTTAATCCCAAGCTCTCCGTCATGACTCTTAAAATTCATGATCACTAAACAAAATGAATATGTTCTTTCGATAGCCGGCTATCGAGAGATTAAATAAACAACAAATAAACAATACATACTTTTGGTTGCATCGCCAACTTGAGGTGAATCCTAACCGAATATCCTACCCAACCATCCAACTCCGTAGCACTTATGAGGGTGTCGCTAAGTCGGTGGCCTCTCGTTAAGTAAGTACTACATCAACATTTTCTTCCCTATCCCTAGTTATGGTAAAGATGGGCGTGGCCAGGAATAGCGACAGTCATGCTTCGGTTACAAAAGTCGTTCTCTGGCGGCTTCATTATCCGTTCCGTAAATTGTCAAACTGCGTGATCGATGTCATCGCAACCGTTTCTACACCGACAGATGTTGCTGTCCACGAGGTTCATTGTATGGAGATGTACATCTAGCGAGTAGGTCGGACATAAGTCTACTCATCACGCGAATGCAGTCACGAATTAAGCCGAAGCCCATAAACCACGCTCTCGAAGAAACATTAGGAATAATTTATTTTTTTTATAATGCGTTTATTTTTCCAGGCTCATTTGCTGTAGCTTTGCAGAGCCTGGATAATTTAATGTAACCAACTAAACAAATTAACCGATGCAAAGTATTTTTAGAAAATACTAGCGTTCATGCGAAATACGCTTGGTTTCGACTTTCATAGTCCTCGTTGCCGGGTGCATAGAATTTGATTTAATATTATGGGTAGGTTGGATGTACCAGCCACGGATTTACTATCTTATTCGGGCCCACGTAAATGTAAGTAAAATAGTAAAATGTAAACAAAAATTAAAGTAATTCCTCTACCGGCGAAGTTATGTGAATTTCAGTGTGAATTTCTTAATGTTGTGAAACACCAAAACAGTAAAATGCTTACAACATTGCTTGCTATTCTGCTACTGGTTCACTTCTAGATATTTTGTTGAAATAAGCAATAATTTTTTTTCGTAAATAGTTTATGATCAGGGCAAGACGGACAATGTCAAAATTTGTAAGAAAAAGAATAATGTTCGAATTTATTTAATGTTATGCCTAGAATATATATGTCCAAAATAGATCCACCATCACTGCTAATTATCTTGTTCCTTAATGCTAATCTGACTTAATGTGTCGCTTGATAAGTTTTGGCATATACCAGTTGTAACACACTAGAGGGGACCACGCAAAAGTAACGAGTTTAAATCTCATCCCCGGACAACCAAAGAAACATGTCAAACTTTAATATGGATATAAACCGTTCTACAAGTGTAATTCATGTTGTTCAAAATTGTTGATTGGGAAGTTATGAATTACCCAAAAGTGTTCGTTTCATCCACATTTAAAAAAAGTTATGGTTTTTCCGGCCTTTTTTGATTGAATTTCAAGATTTTCAATATTGACCCATATAATTCATTGGACGGTATGTTGCAACCATTTTCTTTTTTGAACACATCTAGTAGATATGTTTTCCAATATGTGGAGCTCTTTGTTGATAACTTGGATACCTTCCAATAATCTATCTCTTAAAGTTAAAAGTTAT